GAATGATTTCAAATCGTTTTGTGGTTTTTAGAATGCACTGCAAATCATTTTAATTAAAATTTTCACTAAAAACGGAAAATGCAAATTTTCAGCGTAAATGCAAAATAATTGCATAATTCATTAGAGTTTGCATTGTGCTCGGCATATGCGCGCTGCTGCAACAACAATTAAAATAAACCACGCTAACGAACAATAAACCAGTTGCGAATTTCCCATTGAAAAAGCAACAAAAAAAGAAAACGCATTATTTAATTCGAATTTATTTCTAAATTCATTAAAATGTATTCCATTTTAATTTAACGCGCCGCTGATTGTTTGCATGCGCGTGCGGGGAGATTAGTTCAAATGTGTGCGAATTTATATTGTATAAGTGTATGAATTGGTGTGAGTGTGTGTGTGTGTGTGTGTGTGTGTGTTTGGGGAATGAAAAATGTATGTGAATCTCTATATGTTGAAATATAGTTTTGTTTTCCATTTGTTATGATATACATTTTAAGGATAAAAATATTAGTGAAAGAAAAACTTGAAGGATAAAATTGGTCAACTTACTGCCGTAGACATCGCTTATGCGATTAAATGCGAGCTAACAACAGCGTCCCTTTCTCTTCTTCTTTTCGCTGTTTGGTACCAATTGGAAACATTAAGTGCAATCAGGTCCTTCTTCTCCTGGACTTTGCAACGGAGTGGAGGCCTTCCTCGTCCTCGGGCTCCACCGGCGTGTACTGCATGGAAAACTTTCAAAGCTGCAGTATTCTTACCCAACCGAACCACAGGTCAGTGCTCATTAGTACATTCCTGGCATTCATAAAAGCAGCCTTGGTCACATCATTCTTCCCTTCCGTCGGCGCATGGGCGCAAATCAGAGAAATATTAAAAATATAGCTTTGATGCGAATTGTGGCGAGACGTTTATCCACCGGGGTGAGTACCGTACTCGGTGATGGAACCTATCTCCCCACGCCGCGAAACCAACACAAACTTTGCACTCCTTTTTATTGCCAGTGTAATAAATAGCTCGTTTCCGTCCTTTCCGGATCATCAAACTTCTCAGACGGAGGTAACGCCAGCCTTTAATTGAACGAGGACCTCAACCAGCTGGGACCGGGCTGGTGAAAAGACGCTTCAATTAGACTTCAGTCGCAGTGACTCCACTGAAGCTTCCTCTTTCATTAGTGGTTACTCAAGGCTCCACACGGGTTCGTTCCCGAAACTTGCTCAATGGTTGCCCACGTTTTCGGGTTGCGCGACATATATTGTACTATACATGAGAATAGCAATTGAGTATATCCCCGCGACTGTAATAGCATATCACGAAGCTCGAAGCACTCGGAGGGCTTGATATACCCTATTGATAATTTTGGTTATATGATCAAAGCAATACTCGAGCCCTGACCATTCGAACTTTAGTACACAATGCTAACGTCGCGGTAGTCGCCGCCCTTTTATTGAGACAACGCTGAACTGATCGAACTTTATCAGTATGGGTGGGTTTATCAACGGTCAAATATCCACCACGCATCTAATACTTAAGAAAGAACGTGAGAAAAGTACAAACTACTCCTCTTCATCAAGACTACAGCAAGAAAGATTCTGGGTGACCTCTCATTGAGCGGCTTCATCGACGAACAAAAACCAAATTTTACTAGTCCCCCGTCGCGCCCGCTCTGCTATATGATGCATAAGCTTGGACGATGTCGGCATCTGAAGAGTCGACGCTTGGAGTTTGGATAGAAAGATTTTGCAAATTATTTTTGGTTCTTTACATATAAACAACGGCGGAAACCGAGTATCAACCAAACATAGAAAGCCAAACCTACACCTAGGCACCACAGATAAGAAGTACTTGGCCTACAGAACTTCGTTCAGCAACACAGAGCGGAACCGCTGGACAGGAAAACATACCGACCCCCCACTGCGGGTTAGGGTTTTGGGGTTCAAAAGCCACTTAAGTCACTTAAGTCCAAAAGCTCGCTTGAAAGTGAAGTCTTTATACTAAAACGACTCGGATTTTTATCCTGTCAAGAACTGTCACTCCCGCAACATACCCCAAATACTACCTTCGGGAATATTTTTGCAGTACAAAAGGACATATCGACAGGCCCTAAATTCTGCTCGTCACGAGTAACAGGATAACATAACCACATTTTTTTATGCAGACACACCTGATCTCTCGCCCTCTGGTCAGGACACCTCGTTTCTTGACCTAATGATGTGGATTAACTTCTCCTACTTTTAAGCAGAGTTCCAGATCTTGATGTTGTACTCGCAATATAATAAAGGTTTTAGGTGGGCAACTTCGAAACTTTTTTCATTTCGAGGAACGGAGTAAGAAGTTGGAATTAATAGGTGCAGGTTACTCTACTAAAGCATTATTAGCAATTTTGAATAAAGAGTGTTGGGTTCGTAAAAGTTTGTTCATGAATTTACAGGACGAAGGGGACAATAAGGATTTCTATTCTCTCTAAGGTGGTGATTAATATTCCAAAAGGTACACTTATTGAGCTATTGGACTGCACACAAAGTGGTAACAATAATTTCGGCACCAATGGTTTTGCCAAGGCGACCTCTGAGCGGCTGAGTTTCCTGGACATTACAGATCTTGTGGAGATGCCAAGGTTTGAAACCACAGAAATAAGTGCTTCGGGTTACGATAGCTTAGCATTACAAAAGTCTTAAACTTTACTGCGAATTGTGTCTGCGGAGTAAATAAAACCGGAGAACAGGAGCATAAAGTTCCACGGAATTTAATTTAAACGGAATGGCAAATGGCTAGAGGTTAAAAGTTGACAAACAATTTCGACGGTAGGGCTTTGTTATGTAGAGGGATGGCTGCTAGATAGTTTTCAAGAACCTAAAAGTAGGGAGCTTTGTTTTTATTCTAGATTTTCTGTGTCATCAACTTCACCAGATATTGCTTAACGCGAAAATGTTTGCCAAACAATACACACAGCGCCATCTGTTGAGCATTACCCTAAAAAAAAAATAAGAGCACCAATAATTTTTTTTCCCGCTCAAATCATGAATGAAGAGAACCAGCCAAACAACTAAACTGTCTTAGACGAAGACTGAAGCGCTTCGCCTACTCTTGAAACGAAGAAGAAAAAAGGGGAAATTAAATATTTTTATTTTACTTTTACTTTTTCGTCTTCATCTTCGCTGGCGCCTTCAAGACAGCACCTGTTTGTACAACATCTTAGAAAGTGGAACCCCTCATTGCAAAAAAAAAGGCAAAAGAAGTGCAAAAATGTAAAAAGAAAAAAAATTAAGGGAAATTTCTGCTCGTCAGCCAAACAACAAGTGAACAACCCTCTGCGAAGGGAGGAAGAAAGCCCACACACACTTTATTGAGTGCTTAACGAGCGCGCATTTCTCCTTAGGAATTCTTTTCTACCTTTTGGAAATCACTCAAAGACGGCGGGCAACTGCTTCAATTAGGGGAGTTTGAGGAACTTTTCATGACACAGTCAGCTTCACTTCCAGCTGTGAAGGGTTTGTTTGGTCGTTGAATTTTTCTTAAGGAGCGTTGCTTTGGCACTCGTGGACAGTCGGCTGTTGGTTCGGTGGTTGGTGGACTGTTTGTTGTTGGGTAAGTAAATAACTTGCAAGCTTCTTAGCGTGTGATTTTTTCGCAGATTTTCGCTTTCTTTAAGAAAACTTTCCTTGCAAACTGGACGTTAATGCGCGACTTTGTCGTTAGATGGCGTGCAGAGCGAAAAGCTCGTTGGTTTTTAATATAGGAAAGAAAGTACTTTGAAATTCGTAAATAAATATTATATTTATACGTTTTTAATATGCCGTTATAGGATTTTTTGTATGTAGTTTTTCTCATTCTGAGTCGTGGTTCTCTATAGGAAAAATTAGCTTCATTCACTCAATTCACCCAAGTAGTCGCCATTCCTACACGTACTATTCAGCTCTCGCTCTTACGCAGGCAAATTTTCACATTCAACTGCGAAGAAATGGCGTTTGCATGGCAATATTTACCCACACACACATACTCGCACAAGTGCACACATATGAGCCGGATTTCGACCAATTATATTTTGTGGTTAACCGCAAAAATTCATTGAAGACAATTTTCGTCAGTCATACGACGCCGGCGCTTGACGTTTCGGCTCTCAGCTGGCGGCGGTGGTGGAGGAAATCCACTCGCTCGCTCGCCTAGTCGATTTCGCTCACACTGCCCACAGTCGCTGTATAAGGCGGTCACACTTTTACACTTTCCCTAACGATAATATAAAAATACATTATATTTGTCTGTATATATTATATTATGTAAGTAGGTATGCATTTAATCATTCGTGTGTGCTCACGGTTGCTTAGCAGCTGCTGCAATTGTCCTCTGAAGCAGTGAGTATATTTTCCTACATCCAGACAACCTTTTAAGTGCTTTTCCAACCCTCACTCTGTTAAGTAACGCTATACATATATGTATACTCACGCGTGTGTGCGTGTTTCACTGGATTGTCTTATGCGAGTGACTGACTGACTGGTTGATGCGTCCGTTGTCTTAGCCGGTGACTGCTGGCAGCAATGTTTGTGGTATTTTTGGTGCATATCGAACAGATAATATTCGGTAGAAGTGCAAACATACATGCATATGCATATATATGCATGTATATCTCTTCATCAATATGTGCTTTGTAAGTATGCTTGCATATGCGCTCTCTTCATAAAATTTGGTTGGACGATTTTCATTCTCGTATTTGAGTATTTGAGTATTTTTTTCTGTTGACTGAACATGGAATTATTATGATTTGTGGTTAGCCACAAAGAAAACAAAACTCCGCCTCTGATACGCATACATACAAGATTATGTTTATACTTGCACTGCTACAAACATATAGACGGTTATATGCATACCATCATTTGTAGTCAAGTTCACTGCTCTTGGATTACTTTTCGGAAAATTTTTGAAATTTAGTTGGAGAAAATATTTCTAAAAAATATCTGAAATTCTGCATATTTTTATTTATTTATTACGAGCATCTGTACTTTAGTTTTAATAAAGGAGAGACTCTCTCGTCGAGCACTGTAGTGGTTGATCGCTAACCACTATCCGTATTAGAGCAGGGACGCTTGATGGAAGGAAAAATGTCGTTACAGAAGACGCTTCTGCATGTGTTTGGAATGTACTTAAGAGGGCTCTTCCCCTACACGATGTCCAAGTTTTACTGCACGACTTCAAAGATTGGAGTTACCTCCTCGACATAACCACCCAAACGGAAATGCTTACAGCAGTAGCAGAGTGGTTAGCAATACGTCCAACCTTGCCTTGAAGCCTTGTCAGATAAAAAAAATTAAAAATTTAATTGAAAAATTTATTTTTCTGGTTAGGTTCGGGCCTTGGCAGAAATAAAAAATCCGTAGTTTGAAGTTGCCATCTTTCATTGGAAAACCTCTGGTGGGACAACACAAGTCGGTGGCTGTTACTGGATCGAAATGAACGTTTACCATTTGATTGTAGACAGAAAACACATTTGCCGACTCTTCAAGACCCTCAGAGCACGCGCTCTTATCTTGCATGTAAAAAAGAAGGAGTAAAGAGGAGTTAAACATTGCACAGCTGCGCTTGAAGTCCCAGCAGCCCAGCAGCATTTTTAGAAAACACGATATTGCACAACTAGGGTATGGCACTTCAAGCTTCCAACTGGATGTGGTAAGATTGGGATTCAAATTGATTACAATCAGATCTCGTACACTGCGGTAGAGGGTATAAGGTCTGTTTTGCTAAACGACCGAAGCACACCACATGTGGGAACGATATCTAGTGTTGAAGAAAGTGAAGCGTAACTTTAGGTAGAAAAAGGAAAAGGGCCGCCATACGTGAACACGAAAAGTCTTTAACCTAAGCACTACTCCCAGTCGGAGATAAGTTGTTAAGTACTCGTTTTAAGCTCATTCACGGACACCGAAATAAGGTAACAAGTTGTGCGACTATATCTGGTCTCTCTCAGATAGAACTTGTCTTATTCACCAGTAAGTTATGTCTCCCGGAAATGGATCCAACTTCGAAAGGTTGCATTCGACTTCTTCTTTCCTTCTTTATTGCCGTTGGCACCGCTCGCACGGTTATATCCGAATCAATGTTAGCGCGCCATTCATCTTTCTTTTTGCTATTTGGCGCTAGTTGAAAATACCAAGTGAAGTCAGGTCACACTTCACCTGATCCTTCCAACGGAGTGGAGGTCTTCCTCTTTCTTTGCTGCCATCAGCGGATTTCGAATACTTTCAAATTTGGAGTGCTTTCATTCATTCGGAGGACAACATGACCTAGCCAGCGTACAGTGGCTACGCATTCGTTCATTCGCAAAACTGTGTAAATATCATCATATAACTCATATGCTTATCGTTCCATGGTCTGCTGTATTTGCCATAGACTCCCAAAGCCGACTCAAAAGATGTCATCCGGGTATGATAAGCGACTTGTAGAGTTTGGGTTTCGTTCGTCGGGAGAGGACTTTATTTTTCAATTTCCAGCTCAGTCCGAATAAGAACATTTGGCAAGAGTAATTCTGTTTTGGATTTCCAGGCTGATATCGTTATTGGTGTTAATACAGGATCCAAGATAGACGAATGTTATCTACTACTACAAAGCTATGACTGTCAACAGTGACTTGGGAGTCGCGAATTCGATGACTGTTTGTTTGATGACAGGAGATATTTCGTCTTGGTCTCGTTCACTACCAGACCCATTTGCTTCGCTTCTTTATCAAGTACGGAGAAACCAGAACACACGGCCTGGCTGTTGAGGCGAATAGTGTCGATATAGATGACTGTACCTTCTCAATTCAGCTCTGCAGCTCGTGGTATTTTCTCCAGCAATGAAATAAAGACTGCACTAGGAAGAAAAAGTAATATATATGTGCAAAATTCTAGAGAGTCTTGGGGAGAATAAACATCGAGTAAAGAAGGAAAAAAATTTTGGGTAGCTTTTACTGCAGCAAGGCCACCATCGGCAAGTGATGGTAGGTATGGAAGGTCCTCATGGACGTCACAAAACTTGATCGAAATATCAGCACGGCAGTCTTTTAACGAAAATTATCCAAGGGCGACTCACTGCTCCGGTCGCGAGTTAGTCTGGTCTTGCGTTCATCGGGTGTGGTCTTGAAAACTTTCCAGATTTCCAGTGTAGGAAATGTCTGGAAGGAGAACAGTTATGTGTTTGTGAGGCTCTGATTGGAAATTCTTGGATCGCAACTCGAAGGAATTAAGAGACACCACTAAATGATGAGTTGAAAAAATTGATATGGCGGTTGGGATATATTTGCACTTTTGTTGCTTGCTGAATTAAAAAGAAACCCTGCGCATATCTACGCTGAACATAGCCAAACGATTAGAATTCCAAGAATAATATTCTACTATACTGTTCTAAAGAGCTGAGCAGAATCCTTACTTTCCAGCGCTGCAAGTACAGAAATATACACTCTAGTTCCTTAAAGTGTTACCTCCTCTACTGATACCCTAAACTAAAGCAGAGTTCTATGACCTCTATGGTCGGCTTTCATGGAGCAAGGCGCTAATCCTAGCAAAAGACTAAGACTCCTCTTTTTCAGTGCTTCCTCTGTGCTCACTGCTCCTCGCACCCTCAACATGTAAGCACGGAAATATTTTCATAGAACGAGAAATAGATGCAGAATATTTTATTTTACGTTCCTTTCCCATGAAAGTCTGATTTATTTTACCGCTGTTTATTTTTCTAACGAAAAACTCAATGCTGGCATTAAAAAGTACTTAATTTGGTTAATTAGTATGGAATAAAAATTGATTACAAAGCTTATTCTTATGTAAATTTGGCTTCAGTTGTAGACAATGTCGCTGTGCAGACTTTACACTGTGAAGATACAATATGTATATATGTACAAATGTCTGTAAATTTAATTATTACATTTTAGAAAAATTGGAAAGTTTTCCAAAAAAAAACATGAGATTTAAATCAAATGGGCAAAGATAAAAAAGGGGAAATTTTGAAAAATTTGTGTCTAAATATATGGAGGTATCCTTAGACCCAATTGATATTTCTCAGTAAATACATATTTCTATTCCTTAAAGATTTCATCCATTCTAAAAATTGTTTATAATAAATTTTTTATCCATCAGAATCTGGACAACTTCATTTAATCCAAAAGTGTAAATTTATTTATTTATTTTTTTCAGTGTATTTATGTACATTCCAAGTGCACTCAAAATACCACATCAATTTGTTCTCTGATCCTCAATGCACAAATAATTGCCAGCATCGCGTCCTTTTTCCATTTAATACACGTACATTTTTATATACACATCCATACACACTTACATATACATATGTACATATGTGCTCATATATGTACAGTTCAGCTCGTTGCTTTTCTGAAGCTAAATTTTAATTAATCCCACTTGAAATATTAAAATAATACTAATTACACTCACTCGCCAGCCAGTAAACTTCGGCAAATATATATATATATATATACATATATTAAAAGAAAAAGCAACAACACCAAGACTTAACTGACCCATACGGAAAGCAAAATTTATATCTATTTTCAGACGAAAGTATTTATATAAGCATATAAAATAGCTGTGAACAGCAAGAGAATTCTTGTTGTTGTAGAGCCTTTAGTGTCCGTTGGATGTAATGAGTGCACTCGAGCAGATTAGAGGAGTTTCTCGTACTTGTGGGAGTGTGCGGATAAACAAAAAATTATAGCAGACAACCAAAGGAATGGATCCTTGAACGAATTTATAAACTTATGCACATATATATATGCTTACATATACATACATACGAACATTATATTGTGTACAAAATGAAAGAAAGTTAGTGTAGTGGGAAAACTCTAAAAATATTTCGCATTTTCTTATTAATGTCTTCGTTATTGTTTTTCATTGTTGTTTTTGTTTTGTGAAAGGATTAAAAACTACTTCAAACATATTAAACGCTATGCATGTATGTGCATATGTATCTTATGTGCATATACGAAAACAAAAATTTATGTGTAGACAAAACAGTAGAAGGAAAAGCGTGTTATATACACACACATACATAGTACATGTACTTATAGACCCATAGAATGTACTCCTTACGGGAAAAATATAAAATATATCATAATTATTTAATTAAAACCAAACTGAATTAAATATAATGAAAAAGATAAATAAATAAAATGAGATAAAATAAAACAAATAAAAAAGTAACATCACAATAGAAACAAAATGAAATACAATAAAAAATTATTTAAATAAAAAAATAAAAGATATAAATAAAAAATATGATAAACTAATACAATCAAATTAAATTAAGTATAATAAAAAAATAAAAGAAAATAAAAAAACATATTTAAGTTAAAAAAATTACATAAAATTTTTGTTTTATTTATATAAAATTATATAAATTATAAAATTAAATAAAATAAATTAGAATAAAAATAAGAAATAAAATGAAACTGAAATATTTAAAATAAATTAATTCAAAATGAAACAAAATAATATCAAGAAAAATAAAATAAAAAAGTAAAAAGCAGCAAAATAAAATTGCTTTAATTAAAATTTTAAACATTTTATCAAATAACAGTAACAATCATTTATATAAACTAATTATAATAAAATTAACTAAAAAACCAAAAAGTAGAATAAAACTAAATAAAACCAATTTAAATTGGATTTAAGAAAACTGAATTAAATTAAAATTTTAAATGACTTAATTTCAAATAAAAATTGTAACGCCTGCCAATAATTGCATACTTTGGAATCAGCCGAGTAATTGATGTCTGGTTCATAACTAAATTCAAAACGAACAAATGATCAATTCATTTCAAAATTTTAAAATTTTAAGAACATATTTATACATGTTTTAAGCATTTACTGTAAAATTTTTGAAGAAAAAAATAATATATTTTTTTAGGTTATAGTCGATCTCCAACGGCGTGAAAAAAAAGTTTCTTCACTGCTATAGTGATTTCGGCCATCTCCGTGGATAAAATCTAAAAAAAAATCTCTACTAGATAATATTGTCTGTACAATGACCTACGATAAATAAAAAAATCAAAAATTGGCAATATGGCGATGTTTTAAAAAAAATAGTCGTAAAATAAAAATTTTGGTCGTTTTTGGCCTGTGAAAAAAATTCGATAATGATCGGATCATTTGTTCTTGAGTAATCACTGCAGCAAATGCGGAAAATGCTGTTTCGAGAAAAACACGCTTAAAGATAAAATGATGGTTATCACTCGTAGCTAATGCGACTCTCTAGCTGCCGAGCGGCTGCTCTTTAAATTGCTGTAACTCAAAAACTATTTGGGATATCGATTTGAAATTTTAATATGTTATTTTTAATAATAATCTAATAATCTAACCGAAATATGAAAAAGGATCGATTCTTTTGAAATTTCACACTAGGTGTGCCCCTTAAGTGTTGTAGGCAAAATAAGACTGGTATAGTGTGCAGTCTAAGAAGGTGTAGCGCCAACTTTGAGGTGCAAAGGACATTGTTTTACAGTTCCCTGTGGAGAAACTCGCTTAAGGTACCATCTGCTCCAGACTTATGGAACCTTTAATTAATTAATTAATTAATTATATATATTAATTATATATATGTATATCAACTTTCATGAATATCAATTGGCTCGTTTTTGAGTTATTTCGGAATATACACATGAGTATGGGTTTTCTATATATTAAGATAAATCATAATGAAATAATGTAAATTGACATATAATAAAATTAAAAATATATTAAATAATATAATATAATTAAAATTTAAACAAAATTAAGTTAATTAAATTGAAATTAAATAATATTATTTAAAATATAATAAAATAAAATAATTGAAAATAAAATTAAATTATGTCGTGTAAGAAGACCTATAACTTATAACTTATATTATATATCACTTTTTTTATCTCTGTAAAGTCTTCTTTTCTATTATGGCCGCATTGTCCTGTTATCCTTACATGAATCGAGGATTCTTCATCTTAAGTTAGCACCTTTAAATAAAAATTCTCCTATATTGAGCTTACAATTATAGAGCGGCTTGCTCAAACTCTTCCGGGATGATGAGAGGTGAAGGGTGAGGCATCTATACCAAGTTTAAAGTCTACTGCTTAGCCTATCACGTTAAGTGATCTGCGGGAATTCTTTACTGTTTTCGATCTTAAGTAAATGGACTTAAAATTAAAAAATAAGAATTAATTAAAATCATGTCAAACAAATTGAAACACAATAAAAAATAAAATAGAATAAAACATGACAACTCAAGTAAGGATTAATTATTTTGATGAATTTTGGTTCACTCATTCCTTGGATAACAAATAGATGAAATCGGAACAAAGACACTGAGCAACTGCTCTAATTCGATAGAACATATTTGATACTTACAATATAATTCCCATGGCTTGGAAGAACACGTATTGAATACGGACTTATTCGGACAACAACTATGTCTTTTACTTTCTACCTTCCGCTTCACTCAAGAACGAACATTTAAGACTTTAATCAGAAAAGGTCTACCAAAAATGACTGCCATAGTTAGAGAAGGAGACCTAGCAGCCAGTAAGCTCGATTTGTGAGCTAATATAAACATCCGCAACAAGAGAACTTAGTCTTGCTTTCGATCTAAACTCAAGGAAATGAAATTCAACACGAAAACGAACTCAGTTAATTGATTGAACGGTAGGAGGTTAAAATTTTCCTACAAGCCATCAGTCCGCGTATACGACTCATACACACTTGTTCTTGCATACTTCACAATAAGGCTTCTTCGTACGATTATTCTCACCCCATTGCGTGCTTAGACACATCTCAACTAAATTCCACCAAATAGACTAACGAAACACCAGCTAAGCTTAAAAGATGGCTATGTGCTTGAAGATTTTAATACAACGACGCAGCGTAATTTTTCCACAAAGTTCACTTAAAATTAATAGTTTGCCAAGTTAAAAATGATGATCGCCTTTCAAGTCGCTAACCGCTGACAATATGTAAACGACAACAACGTGAAAGGATGTGGCAGTGGAGATGTGACTACTAATGCACAAGATGACGCTATACTGGTGCCGTTGATGAAAAGCAAAAATGGCATACTCACATGTCTCCCTCCCACTTAATTAAGCAGCAATGTGGCACCTCTGAAGAAGATACTGAGAATAGCAATCTTTTTGCATGAGTCTGCTGCTGCTGTTTATTCTGACTTAAGAATATGCCACACATGCACAGACAGCTTCAGTTTCTAACTCTACTTCTCTTTTCGTTTCTTCGCCATTGCCATTTTTCCGGAATTAGTTTTGCGCTAAAACCATTAAAAATCCAAACTAATGCTTGTCAAGTTGAAAGATGTTGCGTCTACTTGTCATGCTCCTACCCAACTTTTTGCGCTCTGTTTTACTGTGTGTGCGATAGTTTTGTTGGTTTGCGTTATCCTTTTCTCATTTTTCACTATACCACATTTTAAATGTATGCTTAAGAACTTATTTGGCAGCTAGATCTTCTGATGTGTGCTTCAGTATGTATTAGTTTCCTGACTTAACGTTGAAAAAATATATTCAATTTTGTTGCTTTGGAGTTTAACTGTTATAATTAAAGCAAATGAAAATTGGCAACGTTGCAATAGGTAACTGACTAAAATTGTTTGGAATGAAAAATTCGCATCACACGGTCATTCCGCTGAGGACTTGAAAATCATTTAAAAAATATTTGATAGGTAATTTTTTCTACAGTAAATTGGCAGCGTTGTCATTGTAGACTATTTTTTTAAAGAAAGAAATTGATTTCTTTGAAAAATTCATTTACTTCAACAGGCATGGTTATCAAGTGAGATACGAACGAAATTTGACAACGCCTTAAATGTGTGAGTATTTAGTCCGTCAGACATTCACAGGATGAAAATTGGCAACATAGTCTGGACTAGCTTTAAATATTTGAAATAAAATAATAGATGAATATTTATAAATTTTTTGTATTGTATTTTCATTTTAATATTTTACAGAAACTTACTACAATTCGTAGATATCTCGTAAGAAAAATTGGCAGGGTTGTAAAAGTTATATAGATTTCGATATGCCGAATAGTACATCATCATCGGGCTATTCACAGTAATAGTAACAGAAAAAATCGACAGAAACACCCCCTAAAACAAATAACGATAGAAAACTACATATTGAAAATTGGCAACGTTTCCATTTTCAACAGAATTGCAGGTAAGGCTGTAAAATCTACACAATATTACGTCCTTTCATGGCGCCCATTATACTCAAAATCTGAAAATAAATCTAAGAACGGTTTTTCCTCAGAAGGGAAACTGACAACGTTGCAGAAATTATATTGGTATTATGACGAATAAACTACTATAATGTAATTTTAGAACATCGTGCTATACACAGCAATATTAACAGATAAAATCGATAAAAATACCGGATGATTTATTATAAAGATAGGAAACCATATAGTGAAAAGTGGCAACGTTTCTATTTTCAAAAGAATTCAAAGTAACGCTTTAAAATCTGTTCAATATTACGTCCTTTCAACATTCATGGCGACCATTATACTCAAAATCTAAAAATAAATCTATGAACGGTTTTTCCTGAGAACGAAAATTGGCAACGTCGCAAAATTAACATGTGTTATCTAATACTTCTAAAATTAAATCAGAACTATCCTGTGGGTATCTTTTTAATAAGAAAAAAGAAATACATTTTTTGAGCAGAAAATTGGCAACATTGCTTAATATTTTGTAAGTTCTCACCATTAAATTGTATCGATTGAAACAGTATGGAAAATTTGTAAAAATATTTTTATTAGTCCTTACTCAACATTCTTCAATTTTTATATTTCCCTATGCATATATGTATGTATATGTATGCACTGAATTGCTCATATAAAAATCTGCAAATGCGACGCGACTACACAAGGAATTTCGCCAATTTGCATCGCCTCAACGCTTCTTCGCAACAATTGGCTTTCTAATATATTGGCATTGTTGTTGTTGTTGTTGTCAGCTGCGGGTAAAAAATTTATAAATATTGAATATTTGCGCAAATTAAATGGTAGACAGACTATACAAACCAAAGATGAGTAGACGGCAGCTTTCGACGACTACTACAACAGCGGCGGGGAAGGGTACAGAGTCCTACAGACAGCAAGCAGCAAGCAGCTGACGCAGTGATTTGCTTTCGATATCTCGCGAAGTTGTGCGGGATTTTTTATTTGTTATAAAAAATGTTTATATTGAGTTTGAGCATAAAAATGTTTTCTAAATTACTTTAACGAGTGAAGTAGCGAGTGCGAGGTCTATGGCAAATAACTTATAATGAAAAATTTGTTGCTCCAATAAATGTGTGGAATTTTTAAGAAACATTTTCTGTTGTTGTAATTAGTTTTTGCAACAGCAGTTGGAAAGTAAAATTTTTTAATAAAAATGCAGTGAAATTGAATAATGTTAAAAAAATGCTGTAACAAAAATTCAGATCAGCAAACAAATTTTATAAAATAATGTCCTTGAAAACATTTGTTAAAAAGTATTGAAAACAAGATGTAAACTGCTTAAAAAATAAGAAAAAATTGCTTTAAAAATATTAGGTGTAGTAAAAAGTTCATTCGGTTTTTATCTAAGAGATGTCGTTATTGCCCGTTGTACTAGTGTTACGTGTCGCATCATATCCTACTATACAGCGCTGAAAACGTGTTTAATCGCGCTAAAAGTTTGTCTTTGACAGTTTTTCGATTGGTTGGCTCAGTAAGTTGTGAGCGCTCGTCAAAGATGGACACCAGCAAAGAGAAAATTCGCTAAATTTTACAATTTTTCTTCGATCAAGGCGAAGAAGAGGCAAAAGCGGCTGAAAAAATTAATTTAATTTATGGTCCCGATACAGCAAATGAACGCTTAGCACAAAAGTGGTTTGCTATGTTCTGTTCCGGTAATTTCGATGTCAAAGCTGCACCACGCGTCGGGAGGCCTGTCGTCGAAAATTGCGAGGAAATCATGGAAATAGTGGAAACAGACCGTCACGTGAGCACTCATTTAATTTCTGAGGAATTAAGGATAAGCCAAAAAATCGTTTGGAACCATTTTATTAACCTTGGATTCAAACAGAAGCTCGATGTCTGGGTGCCACACGAACTAAGGCAAAAAAAACATGATGGACCGAAATTCCATCTGCGAATCGCTGATGAATCGCAATAAAATCCACCCGTTTCTGAAGCGGATTGTGATGAAAAGTGGGTCACATCAAGCGGCCCACACGATGGCCAAGACCGGATTGACGGCCATGAAGGTTTTGCTGTGTGTTTGGTGGGATTGGCAAGGAATCATCTATTACGAGCTACTCCCCTACAGAAAAACTCTCCATTCGGCCCTCTACTGCCAACAAATGGACCGCTTGAAGGCAGCATTCATCCAGAAGAGACCATCTTTGATCAGCAGAGGCCGAATTATGTTCCATCAGGACAACGTCAGGGCACACACGTCTTCGGTGACACGCCAGAAGCTCGAGGAGCTCGGATGGGAGATCCTAATGCATCCACCTTATAGTCCGGACCTGGCACCAAGTGATTGCTATCTTTTCCTACCCAAGACAACCGCTCTCCATGCCCTCCGAATTTTTTGCCAATAGGAATGCAACCTTCTTCGAGAGGTGTATAATGAAGTTGGCATCTCGTTGGCAACAAGTTTTCGGACAAAATATGATACATGTTTTAATAATTTTTTTTTTTCTTTGCTAAAAGTCAAAATTTTTTTTGAAAAAACCAAGGTAAAAAATTTGAGCTACATAAAAAATAGATATGGTGTAAAAAATTAAGGAAAAAGTTTCAATACGAAATAAATCCGCAAAAAACAGTTGAAGAAAAATTACAAAAATATATCTTTTCCATTGAAAAAATAATTCCTTGAAACACATTAATTGATTTTCTATGAAAACAAATAAAATTAAAAAATAAATTGCCAAAAATATTGATGGTAAAAGTTTCCGCAAAAAACATTTTTGAAAAAAAAGCTAAATGAACTTTGCTTACAAAAAATATACATAAAAACTTAATAACAATACATCAATTAATAAAACGTTAAATTGGAGGAACGAGAACATAATGGAAACAGAGAATTGAGACTAACCAAAAATTTTGATTAAAGAAAAATTCGAAGAAAGATGCTTTACATATAAAACAACAGCTTTCACTAAATAAATTGCTAACAAGTTTTGGATACAGAAAAAATTATTTTAACTCACCTTTTGAAAATATTTCTTAATTTATTGATTGAAAAAATTGCATTCAATATTTAAATTAAAAAAAAAATGTGTTTTTAGAAAACTTTTCCAGAGAAGCTTTAATTGCAAAAGTGGTTAGAAAGTTTAATTGAAAGAAACTTTGCTTAAAAGATCAAAATGTTTAAAAAAATATAATTCTTCTAAAAAAGCAGCAACATTTTCAATTGAGAAATATTATTTCCATGCTATGAAAAGAAAAGCTTATAAAAAATTGTAATTAAGAAATGGAAAGGAAATTTTGTTATAGCATTTAACTAGAAATTGGATGTGTATATACAATTGTTTAAAAAAAAATTTAAAACATTTTATTGAAAACTAATATGATTCAAAAATATTAATTAAAATAATTTAGTAGTCCAAAATTAACTTAAAAATTAAATATATTTCAAATAAAATTTTCAGAAATTGATTATAATATATTTTTTTTTTTCGAATTTGATTAAGATTAAAAACTTCACAATTTTCCGAAACTTTTTGATTAAATAATAAAATATCAAAAAAAAAAATTCATAAAAAACTCTAATTAAAAAAATGTGATAAGATTTTAATCATTAAAAATTGCCTTTAAAGTTTTTGACATAACATAAATTTGCTAACTATTTTTGATAAATTGAATAATTAGCTTTAGAAATTAGTAAAAAGAGATATTGTTCCAAAATTTGTTTTAATAATAAATATAAAAATATTTGTTAGTAATTTCTTCGCAAAAACAGCGACATTGCTCCAAGTTTTAGAAAAAAAGGGGAAAAGCGAAAACCAACAACAATGGGATGACGCTTGACTCCATGGGCGCCATGGGCATGCCATAATCGAATCCAATTCGAACAAAGGTGTCTGGAAAAAGAAGTCTGATAAGTGAACTTAGTGTTTTCCGAAATAGCAGCTATAACTCCTACCCTCTCAAAACAATTGTTGTAATTTTTTCACTATTTTCAAAAAATTTGTGGTCTAAGACAGTTCCATAAAACTAAAAACCCAAAAACAATTCAACAGAACTAAAGAACCTGAAAAAGCATCTTATTTTTCTCTATTTTGTTAAAAACTGCCAAGTAAAAAAATTTGCTTCGAAATTTTGTTAAAAAATAACAATATTAAATATTTCGATTAAAAAAAAAAGGGTTTTAAATATTACAAAAAAATTATTGCTTTAAAAATTAATTAAATTTAATTACACAACAAATTTGGAGTGAATATAAATTTTTGTTTAAAACGATTGTTAAATTTTATGTCAAGGGGCAAAGGAAATATTTCAAATTACAAAATATGTTTACATTTGACTTTTAACAAAATAAAAAAAATTTAAATCATTTTTGTTTTAATTTTTAAATAAATTTTTTTTTTTTTGTTGGTACAGCATGGTTTTACAAAATTATTAATATTATTTAGATTTTCCTCTAACAAATTTAATAGTTTTTATTTTATAAAGTTTTCCGAATTATATTTTTTACCCTAAAATTTAAAACGAATCGCAATTAGCAACATAATTTATGTGAAAAAAAATGTTAAATATAATTTGCTGTCAGCTTGTTGCCTTTGAATCTTATTTATGTCCTAATTTGCAAAATATTTCCACTTTTGCGGATTGCATATTTTGCCAGGCCTGCAAAGGCTCTTCTTGCCTTTCATTTCAGCAATAAATAAAATGCTTGTGATGACCGCCTCTCACTCCAGCGGACTTAATTAAACGCCAAGTGCGTCATCAGCAGCAACAAAAAAATTTAAAATAAAACTTTCCGCCACCTTCCCCCAACATGGCCATGCTGCCACCAAAATAGGCAAATTGTTCAAAAATATCCATAAACAACAACAAAAAGAAATATGTGTGTGTGTAGAGAACCAACTCAGGCAAGTTGAACTGCGGTGAGTTTGAGATATTTTGTAAACATTTTTGCGTTGCCAACGTAAATCTTTTCATTAAGGAAAAACTTTTCATAACTTACAGTGAGCGCCTGATCATTTGCGGGTAGCACAAGAAGTTCGGCATTTCCAACCGTTTGTTGCTTCCAATGTCTGTGAGTGTGTGTGTGTTTGTGTATGTGTGTGTCTGTAATCCTGCATCTTTTTGGCGTGTTTTCGTTATTAGTCTGATTAATTTGGCTCTTTTCATAAATTACCAACAACTTTAGTTAAACATTATCATAGAAAAGTGCAAGCATCTGAGGGCGAGGGGCAGTAGAGCGAGTGCGGAAAAATTAGAAAAGGCCAGAAGAGTGCCCTTTTTACAAAACCACTTGACGAAGTTGACGACCCAGCATAGCGGCGGCCATGAATATAATGCTCTATTTCGCCATTTTTACTCTTAACGTTCTTTCACTCTTAATGGGAGTTGGGGAAGTTGCCGAGATTGCGTTGGCAGCGTCAAAGAACCACATCATACATTATCCTAATAAAGG